ACTTAATTGCAAAGTTAAAATGTTGAAAATATCATATCTAAACAAGAGCAGTCATCCAATGATAAGCATGGACATAGAAAGTCCTCTTAATTATTTCAGAATGTGCCAACGTTGTCCCAACGTAAAGCTCAGTAGCTAATTATAAAATTGACACTATCAATTAATTGGCAGTATAATAATTGGGCCTACGTTGGCCTTATATAAATATCCCATCTTTTAAACACCTTACCAAAACAACACTTGTGTGTATTACAAACATTGTGCCAATGTTGAGCCAACATACTACTACCAACTTGATAGGACACGTTCCTTAAGGGTGTATTAGAAACAATGGGCCAACGTTGGACCAACATAATACTATCAACTTGATAAGACATTTCTTTAAGGGTGTATTAGAAACATCGGGCCAATATACTACTTGAACTTGATAAGGCACTTTCTTAAAGGGTGTATTACAAACAATGGACCAACGTTGGGCCAACATACTACTACCAACTTGATGAGACATTTTCTTTAAAGGTGTATTACTAACAATGGGCCAACGTTGGGCCAACATATTACTAACAACTTGATAAGACACATTCTTTAAGGGTGTATTACAAACATCGGGCCAACGTTGGGCCAACATACTACTACCAACTTGTAAATACACTTTTCTTTAAGGGTGTATTATAAACATTGGTCCAACTTTGGACCAACACCAGGATCCTTCCTTCCTTGAGAACTAAAGTGAATGGAAGTTGCTTACGTTGGACCAACGTTGGGCCAACATAGGAATTCTGTCATGGTCAAGAAGGTTGACTTGGTAACATTGGTTCAACGTTGGCCCAACGTTGTTCCCCCAACACCAACCATACAACCTTTTACAAATGTTGGCCCAACATAGTCATGCTATCTGGGTATGGGAGAGGACTATCTAAATTTTTGGACCTTTAATATACAATAAATAGTCAATAAAATATGTTCAAAACAAAACAAAGCTATGTAACGTTTTCAAGTGAAGAAATATAATCTATTTTGAGTAACAATAGAAATCGTCTTCACAATCGCTGCTAGTTAGGTATGTTATAAGTTGCATTTTGATCGTTTTTAAAAACTGCAGTTCCAACCATCTAATTCAAAACTCGAAACATTCAGTATCTATACGTTTATTCCTTCACGTGATTACTGCAAGCTTAAGGTAAAAGTATTAAACAAAAGGAACTGGGTGCAGTATATATATGCGCTCTATAAGATACCCCCTGCTTCAAATTCTATTACAATGGCAAAGTCCAATCACATTACAAGATATATAAAGGCTGCAAAAGAGACCTATATCATAAATATGTGTAAAAGTATCATTATATTTTATCAAGGGCTATAGGGGGAGTTGCATATAAGAAAAAGGTACGCTTGATAATATAGAAAAATGGCAATGACAATGTTGTGCGTTGGGATACCCAAAATAAGTGATCGATCAAAGAGTAAATTATATAAAGGTGCATGCATAATGACACTATGTTATCAGATTCGGGAAAAGTTTCGTTATAATTTTATTCGATGATGTATATGAAGTTGCAAATAAGAGGTATGGGTACACAAAGCTTAACAGACGGTCGTATGGACACCCCCATTATTTTACATGTTTTTCAAGCGGGGGCATATACATGTAAGACTCCAAAGTGCGATGGTGACGCCAAAGTCCGATGGTCTCGCCAAACCCCGATTGTCTGCGCCAAACCCTGATGGCTCGCTGTCTTTACGGTTGCCAAAGTCCGATGGTCACGCCAAAGCCCGATGGCTCGTTTCCTATGAGACACGTTGCGCTAAAGTACGATGGTCTGACACGCCAAAGTCTGATGGTGCGGAGAAACAAGCAGCGTTTATGACGTCACAATAATCCGACGTCAATCCTTGACGCCGTTGTCCTGCATTCAAAAGCCATCATTTCTGAATTCGTTCCTTGAATACAATTTATTGATTTTGTTTATTGCTTGCACTTTCCAGAGATATTAGGAATAGTCCTCGCACACCATTCGATTGATTAGGGATAGTCTTTGCATTGCACACCGCGAGAGATTTAGAGTTAGTCCTCGCACACTAGTCTTGTACCCACACGAGATATCTAGCTTAAAGTTGATACACACTTTTCGAGCGTTTAGGGTTAGTCTCGCACCTATCTGAGAAATAAGGGTTAGTTTTTGCATTTATTTATTTATACATATTTTTTAAAGACCTTTGCATGGCACGGCATTGCGGTTTGGCGCAGTAGTATTATGACGTCATAAACGTTAATTGTTTTCTGCACTATCGGACTTTGTCGTGTCAAACATCGGGGTTTCGCGCAGACCATCGGACTTTGGCGTGCCCATCGGACTTTGGAGTCCCATCGCACTTTGGAGTCCTACATACAAATATTGTTGGACAGGTAATTCAAAGTTAAGATGACAGAAGGGTTAAAAGTTTTAATTTTTTACTTACGATCCCCTTCCAAATGTAAGTATGTAGACATGCATTCGTCGGGGTCATAGTTACACTGCCGTAGGAGGGCCAGGATATCCTGCCTGTCCCTCCAGGTCGGCAGGGCTTCTTCCACCTGGTCAACCACTTTCCCCACCATCTCATGATGGAGTTCCCAACCTATCGGTAGCCGCATCCACTGACCTCTAGTGTGGTCATAGAAACAGTGGATGTTGTGTTTTCTCTAAGGATTAACAACGCAAAATTATTTCATCACGAATATTAATTTTTTAAAGATAGTTCTTCATCTTTCTTTATAAGTTTTTTGCATTTAACTCCAGACATACATGTACATGGAATATGTAGGTGGGAATGCGGTACCTTTTGGGTTGATAAAGGACATACCTGGAATATGTAGGCGGGAATACGGCCCCTTTTTGGGTGATTTAGCACCCCCTCCCTGATTTAGAACATACCTGGAATATGTAGGTGGGAATACGGCCCCTTTTGGGGTGATTAAGAACCCCCTCCCTGTCGTCCTGACCGCTGGAGGATTGTTGTTGATACCCGGGCTGTTGTTGACGACCCCCCGAGGCCCCGGCTCCAGACGACTGCTGAGACTGTTGTTGTTGTTGTTGTTGAAGACGTCTATTCTCCTGAGAAAAAAACGCAAATGTTTAACAAGCAAATGATTAACACTGTATTACTTCCCGATGTTCAGCTTCAGACGATTGATCTTTTTTCGCATTTTCTTGCTTAATTTCTTTTTTCTGATCAACACAGAATTTTTGTATGCAAAATCTACTTTTGTCACAAATGAAAGTACATGTATTGTAAAAACGCAAATTTTCGGGATTGTGGGGGTTAATTTTTGTTTTGTAGCATGAAGAGACCCGTAAATTCATGTCCACTAAGAAACGTTAATAGAATGTCCATCATAGACAATCAGTTCTATACATTTCTGAAAACACAACAAATCCCGCAAATGTAGAGGATTATGGTAAAGGTTTACAAAATTATAGGTAAATTATCAAACATAATTTGATTCTTTCATATCGACACCTGTGGGAGACCAATAATGAAAAGTCAATTTTTGTTTCTTCTTCTTCAAGAATCCAGAGCATGAAGAGCTTCTAACAGCTGCTGCAATATCTGTTAGGACAAACCCAGATAGACGAGCATGGTCTCCCTTTCTGCATAGTTCCCAGTCTAGTATCTGTACCATAGTAAGATTAAGAGCTTTCAACCGTATGAATTGTATGCAGTCTAATTATCCTTGAATGAATTTTAGCTTTGTAGGTAAATATGAACTATGATACTTGTAACAAATAAATAGTTGACAACTCTCAAAGATTTATTTACATGTATTTTGAAGCTACAGTATAAAGCAGGCGAGAAACATGTTTTCTGGAACACTACATGTTGACTTGATATATCCCAGTGAATTTCAAATAAATGACAGCACAGAGTCGGCCATAAATATTTCATATTTATATATGAATATATATATATATATATATATATATATATATATATATATATATATATATATATATATATATATATATATATATATATATATGAATATATATATTTATATTCATATGTTTCATATTTGGATGTTTTAATTACAATAGACGATAAAGGCCACTTAACAAATTAATTGCTTGACAAACAAGATCTCTTCATCTTTTCCTTCTCAACTTTATGTTTATTTATGTCTCCTAACTTATTCGCTACTCAAGAGCTTGCTCTGATGTTAGGATCAATTTTAAAAGCAAGGCATGCCACTCAGTGATAAGTTGATACTGTTATACAGGGATTTTAAAGAACATAAAGGCTTGTTTAAAATCGCCATTTTATAAATTCCATAATCTCTATGACCTTAGCTTATATAACCTTTCAATCATTGAGCCGTATTTTGGTTGACTTGTCTCATACCAATTGTTAGGTCTTTGGGTTTTTTTTTCTCTGAATTTGACAACAGAAAGTTACATGTACTCCAATCTAGTCAATACAAAAGGTTTACGGCGGGTGAGACTGGTCAAAAAGGGATGGTTACTTTTCTTAGGCACCTGATGCAAGCTCTAGAATCTCCAGGGGTACCTGTTTAATTCCCGCCTCACACATTTGTATTGTTTAAAGATGTTTTTTGAGATTGTTCAATGTTCGTTGTTTTTCCTTTCATATCAGAAATAAAAGTTATAACTATCATATAAAAATATTTATTTTTAAGAAAACTTTAAAGTAAACAAAGTATTGATTGTTTTTAGGTAAGAAATCTTACAGTTTGTTTCGGGTGTTTGACGGACGTAGTGATAAGTAACCGTTCTTTATACCATCTCTTAAAGGTTCTTTGCAAATTAGGATATCTCTTTGCTGAGTGCAATTATATATATATATATATATTCCTGCAAATTAGGATATTAAACGATTGCTGAGTGCAATTATATATATATATATATATATATATATATATATATATATATATATATATATATATATATATATATATATATATATATATATATATATATATATGTATGTATATATATATGAAATATTGCTTAGGGAGACCACGGAAGATATATTATCTGGCTTAGGGAGACCGCTGGATTAAGGCGACCTTTTTTGGTCTCCCTAATATTTTGACCTCATGAGTATTGCAAATGTCGTGTTTTTGGTAAATTAACAGTCTTCCATTAGATAAAAGTGATGTTTTTGTCTGCGTTTTAACATTAAAAAGTTGTCAAATTTCTATCATATTACCTGAAAAAGAAAAGAATGTATTACCTGTGTATAATTTCAAAGGATATTTTTTCAGCATTGTGGAGACCACGGAAAACGTGCAATTTAACAAAAAATCTTGCATATATAATTTTTTCCGCGTTAAATTATTTTAAATGAGTGTTTCTTCGACTTATTTTTCCATTTTTTATGTTAAAAAACTAAAGAGGAAAAATATTCTAAATTTATGCATCAAGTTCTGAATTCTTAGCAAGTGCTTTCCGTCATTTGTTCCGAATACCATCGGAATGCCTCTTCAGTTTTCAGAAAATGACCTTTCAACACCGTAATTGTTGAGAAAGAGTTGTATTGCGGTAAGTAACTTAAATAATATAGTAATTTTTTTTTAAATACACAAGGCAAGCATTGATTTTTTTGGGAGGGGGGGGGAGGGGGGGGGAGGGGGGGTGTAGTAATTTTACTTTGAAGAAGGAAAGATTATAAATACGTATTTGAAACTGAAGGAAATTCGAAATAAAGTTGATATCGGTATATTCTTTTACACAAGTCCACAAACAAAATTTAAAGACAAAGCCGAATATAGAAAAAAGCATCGCAAGCTGAAGCACCTATTCAAGCTATATGCTTGTGTCCCCTCAGAAATAACGTTTACCTCTTAGTCTTATGATCATTTCTTTCTTTTGCCTTATGATCTTTTTTCATTTGCTTATCACCAATTTTTTGTTGGTAGCCTCGCCCAACCTGAATCTGATAGGGTGTTTTGGTTGTACAACCCCCCCCCCTTTTTTCAATTACCTTACCCCTACACTGTACATGAAAACTTCAAGGTGTTGGAAATTCATTTTTTTCATAACATTATTTATTTTGTATTTCTATTAATCAACAATTCATTGTCGCAGTCTATAACCTGTAGTTCCCTGCATTATTTTCAGCAATATTCGGTGACAGAAATAAAACAATCATTTGAGATTTAACCCCCCCCCCCCCCCCCATCCCCAAACAAATGAAACTGAAAAATTTTTGGTTGTGTTAACCCCACTTTTAACTGAAATATTAATTTTTTTTATATTATTTAATTTCGTTTATATTTTTATAAGTTTATTTCGTATTTTTCCTTTTAAAATTAAGTCAACAAATATGTGCATGAGTTAATAAACTAGCCTGGTTCCCTGCATTTTCAGTGACAGACTCAGAGAACCAGAATATTTCAGACAACGAGGAGGCTCAAAACAGTATTGAGGTTTGTTTATTTTGTATTTACACTTTTTAAATTAGGCCTATTATCTTTATGGAAAACTCTGTGTGCAGATGGATATTTAGGGGCCTACATTTTAAATTTCATAGGCCTAAGTCGGTTAAAATGGCACATGTATCGGTGTGACTGTCAGTGTCACCAGCCCGCGTGTTTACATGTAACGTTACCTGTTTACATTTAGCTACTGACTTTCTAAACATGATTCTCGTAATCTTGTTTTTATGTTAGTTTACTATGTGTAACTTTACTGAAAGTGTTATATTGATTTATAGCGATCTCTTCGATCTCTTTATATTTAGGTGAAGAGAAATTTGGGACTATCAGTAGCTAGATGCTAAGTTAAATGTTTATAGATTTGCTCACCCACAACTTACATACAGTGGTCCTAGACATATATCATGAAGCGCTAAAGCTTCTTGAAAAATATGCCTACTTGAAGTCTGCGTGATTCATACATCAATACAGTCTATGCGAATGTTTTTTTTTACCACACAGGGCATTCGGTCCTGTGTAATTAATCAACAAACAGGACTTAATCAAATTTTGTCAAACCGAAAAAAAACCCAAATGTAAACAAATGGAACACCTGAAAATTAGTGAAGGAAAATGATAATTTGTTCGGCATAATTAATTAATAATTGTAGAAAAATTAAATTTAATATGTTGACGATACAACCGTTATGGCGAGCACAGATATTTATTTTGTTATAATTTAGATCAGGCTCATCAAACTGCACGTGACATTTAGTGCGTCTAGACTCTGATGTCACATTACGTCTTATAAATGTAAGTAATTCATTTCCAAAAAGAAGCCTGAACAGTGCTGAAAGTAAATGAAGAACGTTTTGTTTACTATATTTATCTTCAATGTTTATCCATTAAATCAGGGCATGTTTACTTTTAGTTGAACTTTTGCTGCTATTCTTGCAAGAACGTAGCTTTAACAAGTGATGCATTGTGGGTCCAAGTTACGGCGTCAAAAAATTCTATCGAATGAATGTGCAGTCGTCCAAATTTTCTCTTCGCACAGAGGTTAGTCTTAAATTGAAAGTGAAAACGAGGCAGCACGTGAAAGTCATTATTGGCTTTCAGAGATTGTTTAAGAAATATAATGACTTCGTATTGACCAATCAGATTACCGGACTTCACAAAGTTATATAATATATGGTTATATGGACTCATGGCAATTGATATTGACCGAAGACTCAGAAAGTGATAGCGACTGAGCTTGTGAAGTCACTATCATTTCCTTTGTCTGAGGTCAATATCAATTGCCATGAGTCCTTATAATGACATAATTTGAGCATTCACTGAAGTCCATAATAGTTATATATTATATAAATGGTGCCTGTTTTGGAGGGTAACAGTTGAAATTGACACCCCAAGGAAAACCATTGTCAACCGACGCATCAGCGGAGGTTGACAATGGTTTTCCGAGGGGTGTCAATTTCAACTGTTACCCTCCAAAACAGGCACCATTTATTTTATTATACTGAATGTCCTCTTGATTTACTATGTCAGCAATACAAATCGTCATAGCCTTTTTCGTTCACGTTTAGAAAGCTTTCAAACTCCCCGCTAATTCGAAAAAGATTTACTGACCTCTTTATTGCTTATTTGCTACTCTACGAGTCCTTTACCATCTAAAGTTTCGTTATTTCTGCACTCGCAAGCATGTTTCATCTGTCGTTTGTTGTTTTCAAGTAAGCTACATCGGACGCAAGCTTTTATTGACGTCAAGTTTATTCCGGTTCTTTCAAACGCGCAACTGACGTTTTGAGAATTCTACGGTGAACCGTACGCGCATAATTTCCATGCATGTGGCATTACCGTTGTGTTACCCGTTGCCACGTGTGTTGCTAAGGCTGAGGGTAATAGAACGGATTGTTAACTGCGTCTAAACCAATCAGATTTTAGTATTGAACATGAAAGTATAATTATATATAATCACACAAAGTTAATGCAATGACACAGTCCTAACTAAACAGACTTCGCTGTCATTACATCACAATTGTTAAAAACACGCATCTTATATTCTACGTAACTTCAGTGCACCAAACGCTGTGTTGTTCCACATCATTTTCTGCCGACGCACTTTCGCGTCGATGTCACAAAAGGAGGAATATCACGTGACATCCTTTCAGCCAATGAAAATTACAAAAATTATCTTCTTATATAATATATGTAATTATTTTGCTTTGAATTTGCATTATGTCAGTCATTACAGACATGTTTGAAATATATGGATTTTAATTACAACATTTTTTTATATCCATAATACCTAATGTCTTTTTTTACAGGGTCTGTGCTAGAATTTGTTGGACCCCAGTGTAACACTTTTATGGACAGAGAGGAAATCTTATCTCAAGGGTCAACATGTCTTTATTCCAAGAAAGGTAAATGATAATTACTTTTGCTAATACAATGTATACTCTTTTAATAAATTGTAACATCAGTGCAAAAGAAACATAGTCATACCAGTAACCTAACAACATTTTGAAAATGAAAGTGCAATTGTATGATCAATCGAATGAATGTTAAACCCAGTCAGAATCATTCCTTGTACTTTTTTTTTGTATATCATTTTTATTAGGGCTGTGTATTGAGCAAAAAACAACAATATTTTATAATGTGATATGCACTATAATTGGATTCTTAAACAAGTCTGTCAAAAAAGACATATAAATCATTATGCATGAATTTTACAAAAAAAAAAAAGAATAATTGTTTTGCAACTCATATTAATTTGTTTTTGTCTTACTGTCTTTAAAAAGTACACTTCAAATTCAAATTAAACAGGAAAACCTTGTTTAAAATATTTAGTACATTTATCTTACATGTTGAATAAATTACATGTACTGTATGGAAATAGGTTCATTATTTTCAATATGTTGTTACTTTCTGACTCAAAAAAAGAATAGTTTTATATCCTATGCATCATGTGAATGCTTTAAGAAATTCTTATCCATATTTACATGCAATCTAATTAAAATTTGATGTTCCGAATCCTCTACAGCTTCTCAAACATCTAACAACATCCCATTCGGGGTCATGTCAGAGCCACCTTTTGATTAGCCAATGAAATCATTGCCCTGAAATCTTGGCTTATACATGTAGTTCGAATGGGTTTCCTCTTTTCACTGCCGAACCTAAATGCCCGAGGAGTTTTGTAGTAAACAAAATATGCATTGCGTAAGCTGTGCTATGTATGAATGTGACGTGCAGGATATCTTGTATAGTTAATGCTTTTTTGTTTGCATTATTCACGCAAAGATGCCAGACTGGCGAAAAATACATTGAATTTATATTAAAATTACTTGAATTCAATGTAAGACAGTATCAATTATAAATATGTGCTCCATGACGTTTCCATTTTTGGCTTTGTTTTTATACGTTAATATGTATATAAATTGTTATAAAACGGTAATATACGCTCCAATTTAATTCAAAATTTGACCAAGTGATGTTTCATGAATTCTGTTAACAACCCTCGAAAGGTAAAATATCATAAATCTTTGTGCGCTACAGCTGTGCAATTTTTAATATCAATAAAAGGTCTTTAAAATGTAAACATATGCAAAGAAGCATGCTCCGTAAGCATGTTTTCTTAAAATAGCTGTACAGTATATTTTTTAAAGATCACCTGAAAACACCAAATCTTTGTATATTTATTGCAAAATAGGTAATTTTTATGGTATGGTTTGTATGTTGTTTAAATAGGTCGAAGAATTTTTACTCATATGACTAGACAACCACTTGCCAGTGTAGTGCTTTTAAATATCACTTTACTCATCAGTGATTTTTTTTGTGTCAGCACAACTTGCCACACAGGACCTCGATTTATTACCTCATCTGAAGGATCGTATATCCAATAGTGGGATTATCAGTGTAACGATCAACTTAACAGTCTGAATATACTATGCGCCAAACATGTTAAAATGAGCTGAGGTCTTTCTATATTTGTTAATTTTTTTGCTATGATGAAAAAATATTTCAAAATAAGAGGACAACATTTAACAAAACATATGTATTTCAAATAGGAAATTATAACTGTATGCAAAATCATTAATTGCACATCAAATTTTGATACAATTGTAATTGGATTTAACATTTGATGGAAAATTGACAAATACATTTGACACTTTCAGTGTACAAGTGCACATCTCTATGTTTGACAAAGGCCACTGTTAATTTCAAATCCTCTTTTTTTAATTTAATTGATATCAATGATATTACAAAATTCAAAAATTTTAAGTGGTTACTATTTATTGAAATTCAGCTCCACGTCTTTCAAAATTTGCATGTATATTTGATATTTTCTTGATTAAGCCACTCGTGAAGTTCAACACCTTGACTTGTAAATGTACGATCTTTGATATGCAAAATAAATAATCAATTGGCCTCCCTTTAGCTATTTCAACTCTTTTACTTTTAATTGAAATGAACATTTTAATTTTATGTTTTTTCGTTTCGTTTAGTCACTCTTGAAATATATCTACCTGACTTAATTGATTTGCACATGTAATATTACATATCTTTCAATTTAGCTCTCTTGTAATTCAAACATGAATTCATTGATAAATTTCTGATCTTTAGAAAGTTTTTGGCTTTTTGACTGAAGACTAAAAATGTATCACAATGGCATTGTATATTAATCGTTTACATAATCTATTTACTTTTGGATGTATTTAATTTTTCAGTCTCTTGATTCACATTTATAAACAAATATTTCTCATTTTATTTATGAATACACCCGATTTGATCTATTTGTATTTTTTTTTTTGTGTTAAGATATCTGTAAATTCACTGTATTACATTGCCAGCATCTGATATAAGACACAGTGGATATAATATATAAATCTCTTTCCAGAGTAGTAGATTCGTTTGTGTTTTTGACCTTTACTGTATTTAAAGCTTGCTGTGATACAGATCTAAATTGTTTGAAGACAGTGGTTCTTTTATTGTTTGCACAAGAAGTATATGGCATTTACATAAAAGAAATACAGTAATAATAATGTTATATTGTTCAACACGGCCAATAATGAGCGGCCAGTTTTGGGCCTGTATTTTTTCACTATATTTTAATCATTTAAAGCTGTCTATACGTGGCCAGTGGCCAGTGTTTGCCCATTGTCAACATGCCTAGTTTTAAATTTTGTCTGTTTAGTCAGATGACTTAATTGGCCACACAATTGTATCCTCGAGAAGCCAAACATGAACAGCTGATAATGATAAATTGATAAAGTAAACTTGAATTCATTCAAGATTTAATGATTTAATTAATACATTAAATAATTTACTTTTTATGTAAATTTTTTTTTTCTTTTTTACTCTTTATATACGAAATTGTTGTTACACAGCTTTTGATTACGGTTATCAATACATTAAAATATATACAATCCCCGCAGGTTATAAGCCAATTTGTGGCCAGTGTTATACACTACTATTATATAAATATATTCAGAAAAATCAAAATGCTTTATTTTTGTTTGTTTGTTGAGACATTTAATTATTTCGTGTGAATATTGCTGTAAACTTTTAAAATTAACATCAAAAACAACAATAAAAAACAATTTTAATAGTATTTCTTTCCTAAATTCATGTTTTGAACTGTAACAAAAGGGATCTCTGACTTTAAGCTTCCTAATTTTTTATGTGTTGAAATTGTGGATTTGGATACGTCCTGAAAGTAAATTATATATACAATTTTGTGCTTTTTTACAGCCTGGAATAATTGTTTAATACCTCATATTAATTTGTCATTCTCCCAAAGTTCTTAAAACAGGTACATTTTATCAACTGGTACATGTACAATTTCTTGAATTAATATTTGATTAACTTCCTTCTTTGCTAAATTAGATGTTTATGTGTTTAAAACATATTAGTTTTATATGTAAACACTTCATCACTAGTTAAACAAATTGCACTGGTTTTATATACTGCATCATAAAAGTTAAGTTTATTTATCCACTAACATGCAGTCTTGTAAAAAAAACCTGATGTTACAATATTTATTTTTGTAAATTTTCTTTCAAAATCTAATTTCTAATTAACTTATATAGAAAATATTATTGACTTAAAATCAAGGTTTTTGCATGACAGTTTTTGAATGCATGCCCCTTGCACTATTTCCTTGTTGATTTTTCCCAAATAATAAAAAAAAATATTTAAGTTTATAAAACTTGCATATAGGATATCTTCTTACATGCTTTTTTGAATATTGTCATAAGCCAAAATTATACAAGAACCTGTATGCAAAATACTCAAACAAAAATTGATTAGTTTATAAGATTGAATATGAAGTTGATAAATCAACTCAAAAATAGGAAGAACAGCCTTCCAGCTTACAAATCTATATTTTGACAAAGGGTAATTTTGTTTTTAATTCAGTTAGAAGTACACATAAAATTAATTTATGCTCGCACCTCCTTCAAAGAAGGGAGGGCATATTGTTTTGCTGCTGTCTGTCTGTCGGTTTGGTGGCCCTGACCACTAGTTTTGCTTCAATTTCTTCACAGAGGTTGCACATATTGAATTCAAATTTGATACTAATGTATATTGTTTGTTTATAAGCATGGGTGTATACATGTGCATAGGAATCATCATGCCCATCTCTCTGTTCATGTGTTTGCCCACTTGTGAGATTAGCTTGTTTTAAAACTGGCTGAGATAAATTGATTAAGGTCATCTAAATACAAACAATTTAAAGTAAATTACTATTGTATTGGGATAAACATTTTGGAAAATATGTAACTTTATTACTAGGTTATTATAAAATCTCAAGTTTTAAATACTGATTTACGTGTAGAAAGTAGTTAGTCTCCTAAATGCAGTTATAATACATTTGGTCTCCCTTATGCATACAGTATATTATATAAATTTAAAGATCAACATGTATTTTTGTTTGTTGTTTAATTTCCCTTTTATATTTAGTTTATTTAACAAAACATATAACTTACTAGTGTATTAAAATCTCAAGTTTTGAATACTGATTTACATTTAGAAAGTAGTTGGTCTCCTAAATGCAGTTATAATACATTTGGTCTCCCTTATGCATACAGTATATTATATAAATTTAAAGATCAACATGTATTTTTGTTTGTTGTGTAATTTCCCTTTTATATTTAGTTTATTTAACAAAACATATAACTTACTAGTGTATTAAAATCTCAAGTTTTGAATACTGATTTACATGTAGAAAGTAGTTGGTCTCCTAAATGCAGTTATAATACATTTGGTCTCCCTTATGCATACAGTATATTATATAAATTTAAAGATCAACATGTATTTTTGTTTGTTGATGTAATTTGGCCTGATGCAGTTATATTTGTTTATTTAAAATAAAAGATTTAATTTATAAAAAATTTATTTTGAAATGACATATAGAGCGTATACTCTAGTTGCGGACTTATTTGATCCTTACATCATTTTGAATACTGATTTACATGTAGAATTTTTCTCTCACTGTTGGTCTTCATTTAAATGCAGTTATAATACATTTGGTCTCCCTTATGCATACAGTATATTATATACTGTATATTTTACAGACATGAAAATGTAATATTGTTTCAGAAATTTAAGTTTAAAATATTAATATAGATTAACACATGTTCAATGAGATAACAATATATTACGTTAAATTTATCAACATGTATTTTTGTTTGTGTTTTTGTTTGTTGTTTAATGTCCCTCTTATTTTTGTTTATTTAACAAAACATATAACTTACTAGAGTATAAAAAGAAGGATATGGAGATAACGAACAGTATTCAATATCGAAGTCCATAAACAACACAAAATAAGAGCAGAGCAAACACGGACCCCCGAAACATCAGAGGTGGGATCAGGTGCCATGGAGAAGTGAGCATTCCCTGCTGACTGGTCACACCCGATGTTTGCTCATTGTCATGATAGTGAAATAACGGAAAATTTGTCGTCAATTTATAAATAATGGACGAACAATTGGTATGAAAAATGTCAGTCAGCATTTGACTCAATGATAAATTGTATTTGCAGACAAGGTCATTGTATCAACTATAGAACTTACAAAATAATGACTTTAAACAAGACTGCTGATATTCTTGTTTCATCAACTTGAACTTGCTTGTCAATAATTTACCTTGTTTTAGAAATTGTTCATATGTAGAGCATGCTCTTGCGTATCGAATTGAGATATATATACTCCGTATGCAGGTGATGAAGGTATATTGCTGATGAAACAAAAGTTAAAGTCGTCATGTTTATCATATAACTAGGTTGTTAGGTTATCATTAACAGTGATTATTGTCTTTTTCAAGTAAAATATCCAAGTAAGAAACAGATGTGTCAGAGTCTGTGGTTTCTTTTATCTCAAGCTCTCCTGAATATATATTATCGACATAGAAATTACCATTGTTAATTGACATGTTGTCGATATATCTGAAGGTCAAGTTGAAGGCCACAGCAAGTGTTTTCTTCTTTTCACGCATAAGATTTTGCATAAATTCTGCTTCATATGAATATAAAAATCTCAAGTTTTGAATACTGATTTACATGTGAATTTAAGTTGGTCTCGTAAATTCAGTAATAATACATTTGGTCTCCCTTATGCATACAATATACTTGTATCATATAAATTTAAAGACTGGCATGTATTTTTGTTTGTTTCTTTGTTGTTTAATGTCCCTCTTAGATTTAGTTACTGTAATAAAGCATGTAATAAACTAGGGTATTGAAATATATCTGAAGTTTTGAATGTTGATTTGCATGTGGATAGTAGTTGGTCTCCTTAATGCAGTAATAATATATTTGGTCTCCCTTATGCATAATGTATATTATGCAAATTTAATTATGTATAATATGTGAAAATCCAAATTTACTCTGAATGATGCTTGTTGTCAATGTTCTTTCAATTCAAGCATACAACAGACAAAATATAGAATTAGAAATGTATTTATCATCTGTCTCAATCTACATGTACAAATCATGAAATTTAAGAATGTCTACATATTACTGTAAATCGTTTTAATTCCGCGATGTTAAAATTTCATGATATCTCAAATAGTACCAATTCCGATGGTTTTAATTTCACACTTTAAGATATTAATTCAAATTTCGTATAAGCATTTAAACGCTTTTAACAACTAATGATAACATTCACGATGGGTTTAATTTCGCGGGAAAATGATAGATCGTGAACATAGTGAAATTAAAACCATCGTGAATATTTGCCAATCTACAGTATATAATTATGCATTAAACATTAAATTGTAAATTTTGGACAATTAGTATGTTTAGCATCTCATATCAGAGTTGGAAATTACTGACTGCCCATGGCAGCCTGTTTTTGAGGTAGGGATTAATCTCTCTACATGTAGTCCTGGTCATTTAAACAAATTTTCTCTGTTTTCTATCCCTTTTAAGTTGATCTTTTAAAAAAATATGCAGTTGATCATGTCGATTTAGGTGCTCTTTATTATCTTCACTGTTTACTCTTTCAGGGGTATATGCCAGAATCTTTTGAAGAACAGTCAGAATCTAACATGGAAAAATGAGGAAAAACAGCCTTCCTGCTAATCTATATTCTGACAAAGGGTAATTTTGTTTTTAATTCAGTTAGAAGTACACATATAATTATGCTCGCATCCCTTTCAAAGAAGGGAGGGCATATTGCTTTGCTGCTTTCTGTCAGTCGGTTTGGTGGTCCACCTTTAGTTTTGCTTCAATTTCTTCACAGAGGTTGCACATATTGAATTTAAGTGTGGTACTAGTGTATATTGTTTGTTTATAAGCATGGGTGTATTCATGTGCATAGGAATCATCATATCCATCTTTCTGTTCATGTGTTTGCCCACTTGTAGTCAGGGGCATAACTCAAACAAGTTATAAAAAAGATAACTTAAATAAGTTATTTTACACACACAAATTAAAAAAAAACAACTTAAATTAGTTATTTGTATATCCTACTTGGAGATTGATTTCTTGGAAATTTTGTGTTTCCTGCCAATATGCATTGCATTTTGGGATTCCATTATGTAATACTAGATGGAGTGCACCGACTACAATGAAGAATTGGTGAGGAGATGGAGAAAAACCACATTTACACCTTATTTTGTGGTTTTATCCACATGGTGAAAACATATCTAATTTTTATTATTAAATAAAAAAATTCCCCACTTTTCCCAAGACTTTGAACACTTTTCCTGCATTGAGTTATTTTAGAAAAATAATGTGTTTGATTTACTAAGGCAAGGAGAAAGTACAGACCCTTAACTGTGCTACTACACCTCAGAAACGAACCGTACCGTGAACAAAGCATACCATTCCGTGCACAAAGTGAACCGGTCCGTTCACAACGCATACCGTACCGCCCACAAAGCGAACCGTTCCGTTCACAATGCGTACCTAGCTGTTCTTTGGTTAATTATGCAAACCATGCCCCCAATTATTTTTGAATCGTGTAATGACCAAATAAGTCATTCAGGTTTATTTCTTGCTACGGCGCCTGTGAAAGGAGGACGGAGATTGTGTCTGCCTGTTCGAAACACCATTATCAAGTATCAAGGGTCTGGGCCCTCAACTTTAAAAATAAGGAAACTACTCGAAGCAAACTACAACTTCAAAACAACTAGACAGAGTGTGAGACAATTCCTTATTTGCTATAAATTAGATCAACTGGTTGTGTTTGTGGTCAAAGGTACAGTACAGTCCACGAGTTTTTCCCGCAAAACATGTACGGGGCACAGTGTCGGCGTCTTTGAAGTCTTTCATTTTCTTTATATTAGCAAATTATATCAATTTCCTTTTGAAATATTAGTTGTATTTAAATATTTGTAATTTAACTATACAGATATTTAAACTAATATTATAAGATGCCCCAAAATTCAATATAATCGTGCTCGTGCCCGGGGAAAATCCCTATTTAAATGTGTACATGTACACTCATGTTTCATAATCCTATAATTATATTTGATATAAAAATAGGTTCAATAGACTATATAATACAACTAAGATAGAACTCGCTTTCATTAATTAATTCCCTGGTTGTCTCTACTTTAGATTTTGATTTTGCTCATTTAAATTAATAAATCGGATACAAGATCGTTTTTGTCGTAAGTATGCATTCATATTAGTACATATCAGATGCATGATTTAACTAATGAATTATTTTGTAAGAATTTTAAAACATATATAAACTGTCTAGAGTAAAATTTAAAAAAGAACCGTATTAGACTATCACATTAATTCTGTTAAGATTTTTACTATAGGTGAATCACTGGTGCAGTTATACTTACACTGAAAATCTGTAATCATGTAAAATACGGATTAAAATATTACATGCGGTAAACATGAAGATTTCTACTGAACAGACAGAGATGATAATCTTACTAATAAAACTGATCAACTTTCATGCTGCATACAAAAATCGCCAGCCGAATTTCTTGCAGAAAAAATGTGCAAACTGCAGTATAAACATTACTTCATTCTGAAATACATCTTATGAAAAATGGAAAAAAAAAACAGTTTGCGAAAAAATAAAGATATTATAAGGTTTGTTACACTGTACCCCCATCCCCTTTCTAGAAAGCAATACGAATTAGCTGGTTAAAAGTTCTTTAGAAGTCTGCAAAATGGTACGTTGTTGTAAATTAAAAATTAAATCATGATCTACAGGAAACATCCTTATTAGTGTCTGTAAAAAGATAATTAGGGCCCCGCAAGGATTTGCGGGTCCCTAAGAATTTGAACACTGTCTTCCTGCATTAGCAAGGTTTATTTAGTCAAAATTTTCTGTTTTTTTCTTTTTTTTTATGGTTGCACCAATCAAAAATTTGGTATGGTAGTTTATTAGGTGTGAAATACATATTTTGATGCTAATTCTCTATGTGTTTGGATTTACTAATTCCTTAACTAATATAACGGGCAACTTTTTTTATGTGCTTAACCTCAAATTTGGTACGGTAGTTCAGTAAAAAATACATATTTTGATGCTAAAAGTTTGAATGTCCCTTGGTTTGGAGCTGTGGTGGGGTAGATTCCTTAACTTTATATAAGAATGCATTGGCAAAGAGAGATAACCTGTGTTCCCATAAACTGAATACTACTAGGAGTCCCATGGGATTAATTAGCTTTCATTCACAAAGCATACTTTATCTGTCACATTGAGATTAATTACCACCTCTGTCTGTTAATGAAGTTTGTTTTGAAGTTAAATCCATTTGGAATGCCATGAACACTCTGAAATGTGGATTTAAATAAGTTTTTTATTATTTATTTTAGTTTGATAGTTATGATTTCATTGAATCCTAAAAAAAGAAATAGATTAAAGAAGATTTTTTGATTTACCAGGGTACTTTTTTTCACTTTTTTCCTTTTTTTTTTTTAAATATATTAATTCAAGAATGTTTTTAATTTTTAATGTAGTTGTATAAAAACCCCATTCTATCATTAAATGAAAAAGTTCTTAAGTAACTTTAGAAAAAATATGAGAGAGGTGACAATTAATCCCTTATTAATTATCTAGCCTGCTGCAAAAATTTAGTCAACTTCTCTTTATGTGTCACTTTAAGATTAATGAAAACCTTTGTCTGCAACTGCTGTTTGTCCCGTTAAAACAAGCCTTCGTGACATTCATTGAAGGCTGGCATTTTATATAACACAAGATTCATAATTGTTTAAATATAAATTCATTTTCTTTATATTAATGTAAATTATTCAATTTCCTTTTTGAAATATTAGGTAATTATGTTGTAATTTAAATACAGTTTTAAACTGTTATTTTTCTTTGTACAATTCATTAATCATTCTGTAAGCTGCACCCTTTTAATTCTACCCCATGGCGGGGCCCTTGCTGACTGGTCAGTTTTCTAGTTTACTATATAAAATGAAATTTAAAAAAATAGCAATCCTCTTTCAAGCCATATTATGTTTGTTACCCCCCCCCCACCCCCCCACCTGTAGAAGGCGATACTTATGTGAATTTATGTGACTTTAAATTGTGCTTTTGTAAAAAAAGAAAATTATAATTTAGGGATACATGCTTATTTATTTTTGTCTGAAAAAGGATAATTTAGGAAGTAAATTTGTAATCAGTGTTGTGGTGAAACCTGGAAGATGAGTTTGCTGGATGTCAGTTGAGTGATTAAAAACACTTGATGTGGTCAGAACTAAATAATTTGAAAGGTGTGTTAAATACACGGTGCCCCCATCCCTCCGGCTGTGACCCAATATATTTTTTTAAACAAGTGTGAACTATGAACTGACCATAAGAATGTTTCAAATCACAGGAGAAATTCTTCCTACGTAAACAGACTTTCAGGGTCTCTTAGCGTCATGCCATTTTGATTGACAGGTGATGCACAAGGACTTCATGCGTGCAGCATGCATGTACAGAGAACGGATTATTCATTGCATAATAGTTGTAAATGGGTTGATTAAAAAGCATCATAGACTGATTAATTGTGACTTTGGCGATGTAAATAAAATGAAGAAGGAGAATGAATACAAATCATTTTATTTTACAGATACAGTGGCTGGAACGTTATTGTTGACAAACCAAACGTGTAGAATCGTGAGTGATCGTGAGTGATCGTTCGTGTAACGTGCAAGATCGTTCGTGTATCAGACTCAATCGTGTGCGTTTTTAATTGTGCGAGATCGTTCTTTAGAATCGTGTAAATTTCGTTTTGTAAGTTTTTATCGGAATGTTATTTGTAAAATAAACATTTCCCTTGTTTGTTTTTCTTAATTTATTAATTAAAATCCAAATAAAATGAAAAAGCGCAGTTTACATAATAGAGTGCAGAACGAACTAATTATCGCCCGTAAACAAGCAATATAGTAAGTCGTACTATTAAATTGTCAAATAGCGTTCAATTTGTGATAAAAAGATCTTTATCGCCTTTTTATAAAATCTTATTTTAATTATTATTTGCTTCTTATTGTGGTCAAGATAATCTTGAAATCAATTCATTGAAAATAAATTTATTTTTTTTTTACAAAGAAATAAACATTTCTCAATGCTTGTTGTGGTGAAAATATACTGGAAGATGATTTTGCTGGATGTCAGTCTGAGTGATTAAAAACATTTCTGCATGTGGTAATTGAAGTAAATAATTTGAAAGGTGTGTTATAACACACCATGCTGCCATTTTTGTTCAATCGTATCCCTCCGGCATATGATATCCAATATATTTTTTTAAATTAGGTGTGACCCACATACATGAACTGTACATCGTCCATAAACGAATGTTTCAAATCACAGGAGAAATTCTTCCTAAAATATTAAGTCGTATATTTACAGACTTTCAGGGTCTTCTTTGAAATCTTAAATAAGTAATAAGCCATTTTGATTGACAGGTGATGCACAAGGATTTCATGCGTGAGCATGCATGTACAGAGAACAATTATGTAAGATCATAATAGTTGTAAATGGATTGATTAAAAAGCATCATAGACTGATTAATTGTGACTTTGGCGATGTAAATAAGATGAAGAAAGAGAATGAATACAAATAATTTTTTTTTTACAGATAATGTATTAAGGGGTTGGATCTCTCTATCCCCCTTTTCTCTCTCTCTCTCTCTCTCTCTCTCTCATTCACATCGTTTTTACAGACTTTACAGGAATAGAATAACTTAATAAAATAAAGAAAAACGTATTAAAATAATTACTTAATACACTGAAAGGATTATTGAAAACATAAATACTTGTCTGTGAAAAGAATGCTTTCTGTTAAGAGAAAGTGCTCGGAAGTTATTGTATTGATTTCGTGTTTCTACTGCTGATTTTCGTATCTATTTTGTTTACTGATATTTCTCTTCTGAAGCAAATGTTTAAACGATAGATCTACAATTTTTGAAAATAAAAAAACAATGTACATATCTAATTACTAGGAATAAAAATGAAGCAGGAATAGTCATATTTATTTCTTTAGATCAGTTAATTAGAAATAATTTATATATGTGCGTATAGAACAAGTATATACCCGGTATTATATTCCTTTTAATTATGTTAAAACTTTATTTTA